TTATATATATAAATTATATGTGTGTGTGTGTGTGTAATCAACATGCCACTACAATGTTTACTACACTATCTGTAAAAGCTGTTTATTTCCGTACCCTCAAACTAATTTGCGGAGTTACAAATGAATTACGTCCAACTGAGAAAAAAATTACATCCTAATGAGTTAAGCTGTTTCATAACAAAATAACGTTTGTTTCGAATATTAAAAAACTTAATATTTGACATCAACCCTTTCGTGGTCCAGGGTCAGTTTATGCTTCACTGGGCACATTTTGCATCCCCAGGGACAAAGAGTAGTGCTATATTTAGTGGTCAGTTGCCTATAATTAGACCCAGTTTGTAAATACTACTTTCTCTAAAAGGAAAAGATTTCTTTGTAAAGGCATACGTCATCTAGGTCACTAAGGGGTTCATAAAGGACAGATGCTCCATAAAATTCATAGGAGGACAGGAAACATAAAGTGAAATAAAACTTACTTATTAAAGAGTTCTTCTCTGAAGACTTGCAAGCAGATTCTGGTTAGATTGATCGACATTATGCAGAAAGGAAAATTCTGGAAAAGAGAAAATGAGAAATTTGAAAATTTGAACATGACAGTACAAAAAAGTCAAAACTAAATCCTGAACATCTATTAAAAACAGTATTTTCTTTAATTAAAATACCAAATAAGTTAGAAAAACAAGATGTCCTCAATGTATATCTGCATTGTTATAATCTAGGAGGAACAAGCAACACAGCCTAGAGTTTTTCTTTCAGCATGCAGAAGTGCAAAGATGTGTTATTGAGAAAAACGTGTGCTACAACAAACTTTGATGTACAGTTGAACCTGTGTAAGACGGAATCGCAAGGGAGCCAGAAAAAAATTCCGTCTTAGACAGGGGAATGTAGGGGGAGATGGAGGTTGGGGGGGGAGGGGGGTTGGTTCAAAGGCCCAGCCGGTGGGATCAAAGATCACTTGTCCGATCGGCAAGCAGTGGTCAAAACTTCACACCTCTCAATTGCTATCCTGTCTGATAATGACATGCGTCAGTCTTACTTGTCCAATTACCACCAGTGCTTGCTTTTCATAGGACCACTGTTTCACCTATTAAAAACAGAAACGTTTGAACATCTCCTTTGCTTCCACCCTTAGCCCCACCCACCAATGCCACCCCTCACTGCCATCAATGTAACAACGATTAGAGGAACTCTTTTCTCGGCTGGCCATGCGATCAGGGCGGCAGGCATTGGTCAAACTAATTTCACAACTCTGGCTTCTGGCTACCCAGGAAAGTTTACGTGGTGGCTGGTGACTCGAGCACTCTCACGGGCAGTCGTGAGATTTCCCAGCCACACTACACTGACCATCTGCATCGCTCAGGGCTCACATGAGGGGTAACATCTACCCTCAAATTGCACCCCTACTCCCCTTCCTGACCCAGTGGCTTGGCCATAGCGTTAAGTTTAGAGCTGGTGGAACCAAACTTGCGAGATTTGTTTCAAATCAGGGCTGAATGGGCAAAGCATTTTCCGTCTTAGACAGAGGTGAAACCCTCGGAAGGGAGCGAATTTTTTTTTCCGTTTCCGCGTTGGAGAGGTTTCCATTTTATACAGGTAATTAAAGAGGAATATATCAAGGGGGGAGCGGGGAGATTCCGTTAAGGCAGGTTTCCGTTTTATACAGGTTTCTGTTAAGGCAGATTCGACTGTATATGTTTATATTTGTCAGCGCTGCAATTTTACAAGTAGTAATTAATTCACATGAAGGATGAAAAAATGATATTTTAAATTCAAAAAACTTCAGCTGAAGCAGTTTTTGATACAGTCAACCCTGCTTTAACAGAAACCTGTGTAAGACGGAAACCTGTCATAACGAAATCTCCCCACCCCTTGATAAATTTCTCTATAATTACCTCTATAAAACGAAAACTTGTCTAACGCAGAAATGGAAAGAGAAATTCCTTCCCTTCTGAGGGTTGATACCTGTCTAAGACGGAAAATGCTTTGCTCACCCAGCCCTGATTTAGAACAAAACTATCAAGTTTAGTTCAATCGACTCTAACCTTTACACAATGCCACCAGGTGAGAAAAAGGAGTAGGGGTGCAATTTGGGGGTAGACATTTCCCCATCCATGTGAGCCCTTAGTGGTGCAGATAGTCAGAGTGGTGTGGTGTAAAGCTGGATCCTGCTCGTCAAATCTGAGAGTGGCGATTCGCGACGATTCAGTCGGCTTCAAAGAATCGCGAGTATGCGAGCGCTCGTGGAATACTAAGTCTCGGGCTCGTATGCATGAAACGGAACAGTTTCATGTCAATGTCACTTCACGAGTCCCACTCTTGTTGTCCCGTCATCCACTTCGCCCCCTGCCCTTCGTTCCGCTGCTCTACTGACCTTAATTAGTGACCCCCATAAATTAAACCCTCCCCCATTGATTCGCTAAAACAATGGCTCCATAAAATTCCTTCAGTCTATTGGTTGGAACCTGTTCATTTTGTTTTTTAATAGGGGGTTGGACTATGCCATCTTTTGTAAAATAAGGGGAGCCATACTAAGTGTTCCGTTCCGTTCTTGCGCTCGTGACTCGACTCATGACCCAGCAGTATGTTACAAACAAGCCACATAACAAGGTGGTGACAGCGACAGGGGAGTGAATCGGGAATCGGAAGGCGATACTGTTTCGTGTTCCGCTGAAAAGAATCGTAAATCGCGTTCCGCAGGCAAGAGTGGCGATTCACATCCGTTCTCGCGCTCGCGACCCAGCTCTAGTGTGGTGTGAGCGTGAAATCTCACTAGTGCTCATGAAAGCGCTCGAGTGATGCTACAGCACAGAAAACTTTAATAAGAAGCCTGAATCTAGAAGAGTGAAATTAGTTTGACCAATGCCTTCTGCCCTGAATGTACATCCAGTTGAGAAAAAAGTTCCTCGAATCGTTGCTACACACACAGGAGGGATGGCATTGGTCGACTGTACTTATTACACCAAAGGGTGGGGTTAAGGGTGGAAGCAAAGGAGATGTTCAATCATTTCTGTTTTTAAAAGGGCAAACAGTGGTCCTATGGAATGCAAGTACTGGTGGTAATAGACAGGTATGACTGACGCACACCATCATTAGAGAGGCTAGGATAGCACTTGAGAGGGGTGAAGTTCTGAACACTGCTTGCTGATCAGACAAGCGACCCTTGATTCCATTAGCTGGGTCTCTGAAACCCCCCCTCCATCTCCCCCCAAAATTTCCCCGCCTGAGATGGAAAATGTCCAAGACGGAATTTTCTGGCTTCCTTGTGATTCCGTCTTACACAAGTTCGACTGTTTATAGTTTTAGCAGTCACTGAAGTAGGTTGTATCAAGCCATGTGTAGTCAACAAAAGTTAATACTGAATGAGTTCTTCGAACCAGTTTTCATATTCAATAGCCATTGTGTTGCTATTTGAGTCTCAAGATATCAGTACACAGGTTATCATCACAAAAACATTTGTATTTAAGGTTCTTGAATTTTTCTAAAATCTGACTTGCATTTGATCCTTTCACTATTGAACATTTATAAAAGTGGTAGGTTGTTTTGTCTGTCATAGCATTAAATAGGTTGTATAATTCAAACATTAAGTGAACGTTACAAAATAACAGACAGTACTTGTGTTGGGTGTAGAGACAGCTTGTACACATCTCTTGATAATTGCTTTGTGCTTGCATCCCGAAGAAAGAACAAGATGTGCAGTAGGGCCAGCATACCAGTTCCCCTCAAATCTGTGGCAGGATCCCTCCCTGGAAAGAAGATGTAAAAGTAAAAGCACTTCACAACATACAGGTAACTGACGCAGGGTCATGATGTCTGACCTCAAAAAGAACTTTTTTCCCTTTTTTCCTGTGACCTTCACAAGCTTTCTCAGAGTCCAGAAAATAGCTTTTAGTATATCTATAAAATCAAAGTTATCTGATATTTTTAAAATGTACAACATGAACAAGTATATGTGCTACTGTCAATTGTCAAAACTGATAAGGACATCCAACTCAGACTATCCTTTTCAAGCCTTTTTCAGAGAGAAAAGTAAATCTTACCTTGAAACCCTATTTCCTCCCAATGTCCACCAAACCTTTGGCAGTCAAACTTAGACCCAGTCAAACATCTGTACACTGTCTGCAATACATGGATGTGGCTCTGATTTTCATTATCCATGGGCGCTGAAAAAGGGCAAAGATAAAGTTTGTTCTTACCTACCAACTTAAAGAGAAGTCTTAACCAAATACAGCACAGTATGGTTGCTCTGACTGCCATAACAGCAATAATGAGTACATCAATAAATTATATAATGCTACATAAAATGTAATAGGCACATAGCAAACACCCATATAGCTAACAGATTTTATTGTCCCAATTTTGTTTGTACATTACATTCTTTGTATTTCAAACACATATATATATAGCAAAATTTGTACATAAAGAAAGGACTTTTTATTCATGCCAGTTCCACTATGTGTATGCTAGACTGTAACTTGTTTCAAATAAACAGCATCACATCATCTTCCTAAATAGTAAGGTGACTCAAAAAAGAGCATGGAGGTAAGTTTGAAAATAAGTTATTTGGATTTTAAACAAAACTTTAACTCTATATCTCCGGCAAGCTGCTCCCAGCGGTTCATTGTCGGAACCACTGTGTCAGCAAGCTGGTCAGTGGCTCGGGCACATTCCTTTACAACGACGTCGATATCAAATTACTTCTCGGCAATTGCCGAAAACAGGTCTCTTTTATCAGGATTTCATTCATTTGATGAAGACCTGTCAAAATAGGTTCACTTGCTTTGATTTGCTTACCAATTTAGTGACATTTTTTGTCATTTTTAGATAAGCACCAAAAAAGGGCCCTGGCATAGTGGGTTTAGCCTACCTCCCTCGGAGACAAAAAGTTAAGGCAATCTTTTCTTGCCAAAGAAGCACTGGAAATTGAAAGAACCTAGATCTTAGGACATGCCAAAGATTTCTTTAAAGGAAGTAGGAAAGTCTGTTGAAAAAAAAAGCATTTCATTAGAAGCACTGCAAATTTTTAAAAACCTCTTACTTGCTGCAATGCAAAAAAACAGATCTCTTTGTTCCAACAAGTCTTTGTGCAGCTTTGGTGGTCCAAATAACAGATGGGAGAATGCAGAGAAGCCTTTCCTCTCAATGTTTGTCTTTATCTGATCCTGTCAAAAGATATAGATGTTAACATGCTTATAAGTATAGTACAGTAGTCTCCGCCTAAGATCCCGATGTTCGGGAGCAAGGACAATGCGGGATCTTAGGCGAACCGGGATCTTAGCCAAAAGGTCAGGGGGAGGAATCCACAGCCACTCATGGTCAGGCCCAAAATCTGCACAATGATCTCCCCTTACTTTAAAATGAACTGACGTGACTCTTGAGCACTAAGAGTTCTTTTAAAGTCAGTTTTTCCCTTTTTCTTTTCTTTTTTTTTTGGGGGGGGGGTTGGGTTCGTTTTGTTTTTGTTTTTGTTTTTTTCTGGGGTGGGGGGGTTTGGGGGCGGTTAAAAAATACTGTGTCAGTACTGTCAGGTGGGAAGCAGTTGGCTTCAGGCAATGCCCCCCATCAAAAGGTACTACTATCCCTCTCTAGACACTTTTTATTCAGGGACTTAGAATGTGTGGGGATGTCTACAGTATTAGGGGCTTAGACAGAGGAGGAGTGGGAATTCGTATTTTTGAAGGAGGTGATGGTGGTCTGCTTTTTTGGCTACAGGTGTGTTCAAACACTGCTGTCTCAACCGCCTCAAACTGTGCAAGGGTTTGTTTTCCCCTGTCTTTCGGAGGAATTTCTTAATTGTTATGGCTGCAGATGTAAGATCTTTGGATGACAGCTCCTCTGCCTGTGGGTCTGTTTTCTTCTCGTCTTCATCAACGTGGTCTGTGTTGTCAGTCTTCTGTTTTTTCACAGCTACAACCAGTTCTGAATCTGTCAGTGTCCCGCAGATTTCCAGGTCTCTGTCTTGTTCCACAAGCTCATAAAATTCTTCCTCAGTCATGTTTTCTGGCACGTGCACACTCTCTTCGTCTGGAACATCTGTTTGGGGCATGTTGCTGAACCCAGCTTTTGCATAGCAGTTAACGATCGTTTGTTGAGTTACTTTTCCCCAAGCTGTTTTGATCATGAAGATGGCATTGAGGAGCGAAATTTTCTTGGTCATTTCTGCCGCTTTAACTGATCCATCAGAGTCCAATTCCATAAAGATTCTACTGTTGAGAAGTAATCTGTAGTGTCCTTTCAAATTTCGGATAATTCCCATATCCATGAGCTGAATCATTGAGGTAGTGTTCGGGGGCAGAAATCTTATTTCAATGTTGTTCAAGTATAGGTTGTTTTTGTGGGCAGAGCAATTCGACTTTGCAAGATGCTCCCTAAAAATGCCGGCATTCATCCATGCATTTGTAGAATGCTTATACAGAACAGGCAGAGAGCTGATATCTCTTGGAAAACACCATGGCTGTCTGGACTTGCCAATCACCATTAATTTCTCTTTTTCCGTCCCTGCCATGTTTGCACAAACCAGCAATGTAATTCTTTTCATGGCCTTTTTTCCACCTTGTAGCGTTTCCTTATTGAATGTGTAGCCTCTGTCTGGCAGTCCTCAGTAATAAAGACCTGTTTCATCTGCGTTGAAGATGTCGGTAGGGCGGTACTGTTCTAGCAACCGTGAAATTGTGTGGAACTTGAATTCTTCACTTGCTTCTGTATCAGTTGACTGTTGTCCCCATACTCTTTCTTGAACTTCAATCCCCGACGGCTCTTGAAACGATTCAGCCATCCATCAGAAGGTTCAAATTCATGCCCAAGTTGTGCAGCCAGCTCCGTTGCTTTTGTTTTCATAAGAGGTATGTTGATCCTTGCATTTTGCTCAAGCTTCTGCTTTACTTTGAGATAGAGTGCTTCATTGACATCTTCTTCTTTAAATGGCCGATTACGCTTCATACAAAGTTTCCCTGATTCTGCTTGCTTTTGCAGACATGCTTGCGATTTAGAAATCTTTGCAACTGTTGTCCTGTCTAGATTATATTTCTTTCCGATCGCGGTAAAGTTTACTTTACTCAGACTTTCCATCTTTTCAATCTCTTGTATGATATCCAGTTTAGTTTGAAGATCGACAGCTTTTCCACACAGAGGCATTTTGTCGTAAATCTCTGTTTCAAGTTTACTAGTGTCTATGATAAATGTCTCTGTCCACACAAGCAGCAGGTGCTGAAGTGATGATCCAAGTGACTGAAAAAGTTTTGTCGATGTGAGCTTGTAACTTATGGCAGGCAAAGATTGGCTAACCTTAATGACCAATCACAATGGTCTTTTTTCAGTTTGAAGAGATATGCCATTTTCACTTTTATTTTTGTCCAATCAGGAATCTCAAGTTCTAGATCGAACAGATTGCTCCTCCCCTGAACTTGTCAAAAATGTATTGCTTTCCATCTCTGACAGAGTTCTCCACCCATGTCATGATGCATCATAAATCGTGTTGTGACAACACTGACTATTTTTTTTTTTAAATGAAAGGCAGGTTCACTGCCAACAGATGACCACATTACACAAAGGCGATCGGACAGTCCACGAGTATGGGCGCCAGTCTCTCTGGGAAGTTAGAGCGCAAAACTGAAAGATGAAAGCAATGGTTGGGGGGACGTAAACGTCCACGAGTTCACTGTTTGATGAAATACAGTCTGACGCTTGCTTGTAGGCCCTCCCCACCTTGTGTGTGATGTAAGATCAGGTGGACGGCTCAGGTGATCGGGGAAAGCAACGCGTCGACGAATTCACACCTTGATGCTATCCCATCTGGAGCAAATATTGTAACCGCTTATTGAGATTAACAACAGGGGTGTGATCGCATTCATGAGAGAGAATGATCCGTGACGTGACGGACCGTACAATGATCGCACATTTTCGCTACTTGAACTTGGTTGATCAGCTTTATTTTTCTTTTTAAAAAAGCAACAAACCAACAACATTTCTACTGATTTAACTCTTTAAATGTGAACGATTTTTTAAAAATAAACTATTAGACAAATTTATATTACTTACTTTGACACTTGAATAGTCTAAACTTTCAAACTGAGTCCAGGCATCAGATATTTCTATCAACGGTTTTGAGTCTACAACATTTGAAGAACCTGATGAAGAACGAAAAAAAAGTTCCAAAATCTGCACTGTAACAGAAATGTAGCCAAATTCTTTCAGTTTTACTATTTCTAAGATTCAATTTCCTAAAAGACAAACAAAATATTGTACCATGCTCTCATTTCTTAATTTCTTACAGAGGTGTATCACCCACAGTAACTGTGACAAAGGTGGAGCCGATTTCTAAAATCACCATGTCAATAAACATAACTTCTACATTCTTTCACTTCCATCTAAGTTGACATGCAATTAACACGCTTCTGCCGAGATGAACATGACAACATTTTTCTACACGACTTTGAGCATTTTCAGCTGAGTATTTTCAAGTTGTATTGATTTCAAATTTTAATTATGAATATTTTTTTTTTTTTTAGGCAGTTGTCACTAAACATGCAGAATATTGACTTTGGAGACTAGAAATGTATTTGTGACACAACAAAGTGGAAACAGGCACTCATTAATCTTCAGGCTTTTCATTAGTAATTCTTTTGATAAATAAAATAGTCATGTATCTTCAATAGAAGTGAAGATGTTTGAAATCGAAGGAGCTAAGGGTCACCTGGTGTAAGAGGTAATATTAGCAAAAAATGACCACCAAAATTTGGTGACTTCCAACAATAAAATCCTCGTAAAAATACATTTAACACATTTTTGAATGGACATAAAAGGAGTTGAGCCACCCCCCAAAATTTACAAAAATCGTCAATTACTCACATTTCAAAATTTTGATGAGTTCTTGATTTCACCACGATGTAACAGATTTCATTAAATGAAGACGGCAGAATTATGAGTGGCTACACCAAAAACAGTATTAATTCTACAGTTGATTACCCTTAATTGTTCCTTTACATTTTATGCTGTCCCCATTTTATGCAAGAAAAATTCTGAAATTATGCAAACTGAGCCCAAAGATGTGAAAATTATGCTATTCTGTTAATTTTAATTAACAAAGAATGGTAAAGGAAAATAATCACAAATTATGCAAAAAATGATCAAATTTTGCTAAATTATGCTGGGTGCATAAAACCACCGGGACAGATTATGAGACTGAAATGATGCTTGATGATGACGACAATGCTTAAATTGATAAGAAGCATATTTCTAATAACACACTTTCTGCTTCATCTTTCTCTAGGTCTCTTTCCAAATTATTACTTAATATTCATTTAGTCTTTAAAGCTTTCTTTGTTCCCCATCTAGGTTTTCTTTCCACATTACTTTATTGGATTCTTTGCAAAAAGAGAAAGCTGGAAAAGGGTTTTTTTCATTCATGGCAGGTGGCCCCGGTTTGGCTTGATAACAGCTGCATTCCAGGCGGCAATTTGCTCTATGTTAGACCCAATTGTCGACACTGGACTCAGTCTCAGCTATATCTCATTAATACAAAAGGACATGTCGGGTTACAGCCCTAACACTATCTTTAATCTATGAAGAAATGAAACTAAAACTATTCTAGGTACGCTCAGTGAATCTCTGTGAAGAAAAGATTCCACAACTCTTGTCCCCAAGTGGAAGGGGAATTATGAATTAAATCTCATCTATCTTATTTTTTCCGACACTCCTCTCTCAATGACAAGCATTGGCAGCTATGAAATTCTCTACCCCATGAATATATGAAATTAATAAAGATATAGTATCATATACGTTATAAAAAATAATCTTCACAAAATGAAACTTTACAAGTAAATGATATACCTATGATAACTGCTTGATAATTAAATACACAATACCTCTCAATTGGTCTCCGGGTTTTGCAAAGCCTGAGGGGAAAAATATTTCGCAAATTAATGAGAGATGACTCTCATGAATAAAGAATACACAACAAAGGGTACGTTAGATATAACAAACTGAGCACTTTATAAAAACTAGAGCAAAAATCGAACTAGAAAATGTTCATTTTAAATGGAAAAGGTTGAGTCTGAAGGTAAACATGTAATGTGTGGAGCAAGAAACCAAGGATTGAACTTTTCGGTCATTCTAAAAGTAACTAATGGTTTGGACTATAATACTTTGCCAAGACACAAAACATCTCAAAGAAAGATTTAAATCCTGTTTTTACCCAATTTGAGCTTTTTTTCCCACTATTTTGTATAGACCTGGGCTTAATGTAAGAAAATCTCTGTCTGAAGAAAGAGAACTTTTAAGAGTAAGACTGTTGATGTTTAGTTTTTTGCCTAGAAGAGATTTACCAGGCTCAACTGTTTGCACATCCTCCCAGTCTTCAGCTGTTGTCACAATGCTCGGTTTGGATGCCCCAGTCTCATCATTATCTGTACTGTCTGGAGAGGATGCACCGTTACGATCTATTGCCTAGTACACAAAGAGAAGAACAACATGCACATAACTATAATTGGAAAAACTTCATAGAAGTAGAATGTAATTTGAAGAAAAGGTTTAAATGCTTACGTTTTCCAGGCCACACATATTATAATACTTTTAAGTGCACGTAGACTGATAAAGGTAATTCCGTGATATGGGCAAATATGTCCATTCTAACTTCTGAATTTCCGATTTAGTACAGAAAAACATAATATTTTTTACTACTTCTACTTTAGTGAAATAATTCTTATGTCTTTATTGTCTTTAAAAGACTATTTCCATCTCTCTGGAACATTTTATAAAAACAACAAAACTTACTACAGAAGACAATATGTAAAGTATTACTTCAAACTTTTGCTATCAAAGGAACAAGATTAACAATGATTTAAAAACCTGTATGAACACTGACCTCTGCTGCTGTGTAGCCAGTCTCTGAAGCACTGTGCGTGATTCCGCGAGCATATTTTCCTCCATCGCTGGGTATATCACTAGGACAGTCATATGAATGAATAGTCGGCTGGGACAAGCTAGAAACACTTATTTCTCCCACATTAGCAGATGAAAATTTTGACCCAGACGATTCAATATTTCCTGTAAAATCTGAGTATGTGAAATCAGAAACAGTTTTATCTCTTGGGGTGAGAATATCTGGAACCAGGTGTTCTGACTGCACTGGCTGAAGATCAATGTCATACTGGTCTGCCTTTTCTCCTGATACTTTCTGGTCTTTTGTGATACTGTTTGCTTCTTTGAAAACGTGTGTAGAAGCAGGGATTTGTTGAGGGTTTTGCTGGGAGGCCAGAGGAGGTCTGTTTGGTACTTCAAATTCAAATTCAGAGTCTGAATCCTCTGAGTTATCATCATTCTTTGTGCTTGGAAACAATGCCAGGGGTGGGATTTCAGCCTCAAAGTCATCAACTTCTCCTGGTTCAGTAGCGGAATCTAAGTCAAGTACAATAGTATTCTCTAAAGGATCCATATGACAAGGGTCGACTGGAATGTCTGTGGTCTCAGAAAGCTCTGCCTTGTCAAGACTATCAACCTGGAAAGAGGAAATGGAAATGTTATTTTTTCTTTAGATTTTTTAATCAAATAATGAATATAAAATCTTATTAAGTATACAAATTGGTAGGTCCCACTAAAGTAAAATAGCTGTATCATGAAACATACTTGCTGAGCCACAGACTACACAGCTGTTTTCTTCTAATCAAAATAGTGAGTAATATAGCGCAAATATAAATGACCTCGAGTACATGTGCTTGAAAACTTCCACTAAAAGCAAATAAATACTGCCATATCCCAACATCAAGCCCCACAGTGCTTACTACTTACTTACTTACTCTCTCCCTATACCATCAGGTACATGAGGCGGAAAGCAGTCAATGCTACGCTTGTCTGACCCTGGTCATGTCCTCATATTTCGGCACATCCAGGCCCTGGGAGATTGCCTCATCTCATATTGTGCCTCTATAGCTTCCAGTTGGTCTTCCCCACTTTCTTTTCCCAGTGGGTTTTAAATACCATGTCTGATGGGCAATCTTGTCTTTGTCATTCTCAGAACATGTCCCAGATAGCTCCACAGTTCTTAGAGCAAACTTAATATTCTCTTCAAACAAATGGGCTAAAACAAAGTTATCTGCATTATCTCTACATTAACCTAGTAGTATAGAATGCTCCAGAGGCTTTTAACAAACAGGGTGTCAATTCCTTTGGAATAAATTCCTTTCAGCCTATCTCTCGTAGATCTGGCTCTACCACATTAAGCTCACAGCTCCAACAAAATGATGAAAAAATACATGTACTAATAACTTCACCATATCCGGTCCCCAGGCTGGATTACCAAAGAGGATGAGCAGGGGGGCCTAGGTCCTTCTCCATGGAAAGAGTATTAACCAGTTATTCTGAATAAATCCCCGACGTCATAGAGAATGAGCCATCTTCTAAAGGATGTAGGACCTGCGGTAAGGAAAACCTGTCATAGGAAGCTACTCAGCCAACGACAATCATTTTCACTAGAACCAACACTACCATCAGAGCACGGAATGTGTGCACCTTGTCCAAAACATGAAAATCAGCACAGTTGGTCATGTACAGAGGCGACTCAGCTTCATCATGATGGGAATCAGAATCAGAGAGCAAGATGTGCTGGCTCTGGCCAAAACAGGCTTGGGTTGTTGCTGTTCTCAGGACACGAGGACAAGAATGCACCACATACCCAAAGATGGTGTCTAATAACAGTCAGAGTGAATAGGGAGCACATGGCCCTCGGATTGTCACAGCATCCTTCCAAACATGAACAAAGAGGATCAACTTGGATGCCATCCACATTTATTTCCTGACAATTGAAAGCAAAGTGAAGATAAAGGGGGAATTTTACTGCGGACTGCAGGGATTGCCCGAGATGGAATATTGGGATTGGGACCTCAATACTAAAATAGGCAGCAACAACAGGGGCTATGAAGAGTTGAAGAGTTTATGGGAAAGCAGGGTCTCTGTAAAACAAATGATTACAGAAAAAGATTTGCCTACATGACAATGCTAGCCACAAGCAGTTTGTTGATTGGATGGAGATCCTTCCACCACTTAAGGACACAAAATGACACTTTGAGACCACTAGACCTGTTAACATAGAAACAGATTGATCACACATGCACTGTGAAGAGGTGTAGCAGATCCCTTCAGGATGTACCCACGAGATGAATTGCTAAAAATGCTGCCTCCTACCATCACCTTCTGACAGCCCAGTTTAGAATAAAACTAAAAAGAAAATGGTTGGGGAATCAAATCAATGCCAGTATTTTAACATCATGCTCTTCGAAGGAGCCCGCTGAAGAACAGAAATGGTAAATCCATCCCGCAGAAGGAGGGACAAAGACAGTTGGAGGGAACATTTTAACAAGCTGCTGAAAAGATCTTACTCAATAAATCAGTTCTGAAAGTAAAATTCTGCACACTGGAAAAAGGGCTACAGCCATCATCAAAATTTCGAAAAAAGGTGACCCCAGCTCAAGCTCTCATTAGAAAAACACCACTGACTTGTCTGAAACCTTCTGCATACCCATGGCTCAGAGAACAGAAGGCACGCAGAGGCAAGGGAACATTTCGCACAGATCACATTGCAAAGTGTGTTAAAGATCATACATTATATTGGAACAGTCTCTGGAGTGGAACACATATTTGTACATCAGCTTCATAGACAGCGATAACGCATTTGACTGATAGGTCATGTAGACCCCCCTGGAAGTTTCTGAGGCATTAAGATGTACCCGAAAAAGATCTCAAACATCATCAGAAAATCATACGCAGGGATGATCTATAGATATAGAGCGGTTTATGATGGACAATTTACAGATGCCTTCCTGGTAAGAACAGAAGCGAGGTAGAGCTGTCTGCTATCACCATTCTTGCTATGTCTGGCAATTGTTTGGAACATGAAGACAGAGACAGAATACACAGTGAACTCTCTGGACACAGCTGGGAGACCTTAACTTTGATGATGACTTGGCTCTTCTTTCACAGACCCAGCATATGATCCAAAGAAGACAAGTACCATCTCTGACTCTTCAGAAAGCTTGGGCCTCAGCATGCACAAAAGGAAGAGCAAAGCCTTCAAAGCCAATACGACAATCAAAGACCCTCAACATACTGGAAGGCAAAGCACTGAAGGAAGTGGACAGTTTCACTTAATTGAACAGCATAGTTGACAAGCAGGAGTGAACAAATGCAGGTGTGAAAGTAAGAGCAAGCAATTCAACGGATAATTTTCTCCAGCTGCAGCACCAACATCAAGATCAGGATGTACAATACCCATATGAAACCTGTTTTGCTGTACAAAGAAGAGTTTTGGAGATCCAGTGAAGAACATGAAGAGGATATAGACAATGGTCAAAAGGTGCCAACAAACTTCTTTGGGTCTGCTGGTCAGACATAAAATTAGTTACCAGAAACTGTAAACGCAAGCTAAACAACAGCTTGCTGACTTTGAATTTGAAGGTAGATCGACCACACTCTGTGTCAGCCTGCAGCAAGCATCACAATACAAGCCTTAACCTAGAACTCAGAAGGGAAAAATAAAAAAGAAAGACCAAAGAACAAGAGGTGATGTGTTGTGAATGTATATATAGGGCCTATGATGATGAAGGACCGGACATTCATGGTGACAGTTGGAGAAAATGGTCCAGGATCAAGATTAAAAGCGAAAACTTCTTGTTAAGTGGGCCAACAGAAAAGGTGAGTAAAGCAAGTACAAACCCCACTGTAGTTTAATAAATAATGAGGGTAGCATTTTAAAAACACTTCTTAACTACAGTAGTCTCCGCCTAAGATCCCACCACTTACGATCCCGGTTCGCTTAAGATCCCGTTGTTTTAGGAAAACAGAATTTTTACTATACAAAAGTCACCTCTAAGATCCCGCTCTGATGGTCTACATTCGGCTAAGATCCCGCATTTCAGATCATAATTGGTAAAACAAAAACCCGGGAGAGCACAGCCGATCAACATAGAGTGAAAAGTTGAGATCAATAAACTGTCCGTCTCGTCAAAGATCAACCACTATCGTGAATGTGATCACATACACGTTGTAAAACTCGATGAAGCGATACAATGTTTGCCCCATACGGGATCAAACCGGGGTGTGAACTGACCGACGCGTTTGTTTTCCCCACGCATCGCACTCACACCTGAGCTCGCCACCTAAGCTTGCATCACTTGCTGGGTGGG